ATCCTCCGGGATGTTATATATATAAACAATCGAAATTCTATTTAACGAAGTCCCGATAATAAGTTCGTTATATGTAAAATTCGTTAAATAGAAAGTCACCTTTTGACCTTCACCACTTAAACAACACAAAACTGGTTTCAAATTCATAAACACTAGGCATAATTAAAATAGCATTGGATGCACCTTTATTCTGTAAACTGGTATCTACTATTTATTTTATAAATCTTAATCATAAAAGAATTCTGCATGAAAAGCAAAAATTGAGCAAAGCATTATCCAGTGTTACACTATCATGCTACATATATTTTCAACTAAAAAAAGCTAAATTTATGCATAAAATTATAGCTGCATTTATTATAAAAGTAATTTTAAACATACACATGCGTTCTTAAGTTTAATTCCTACGAATAAAATCCGTTCATTTTGTCTGGATTTTTTGTTGGCTTCGACAATCAATTGAAGATCATTTACCCCATAAAATGCAAGTTTAAAATGTTCTGAAATATTTTTGGGAAAGTGGATCTCAAAGAAAAGTTAGAAAATTTACTTTGCTATTAGGAAGTTATTTTACGGAGAATGCTCTTTGTTCCTCGAAATATATATTGTGTAAAGAACACATAAAAGATGTGAAGGATGAATTTTCAGCCGACACCGAAAGAGAGAATAAAAAAAAAAAGAATTACCTGGTAACATTGCTTGAAACCTAACATTAAAAACACTTGAAACTTCAAACTTGAAAATTATTAAAGCAATAAATAGTTTTCGGTTTTTAACAATCATAACTTTTATCTATTCTTATAAAAATGTTATTAAATGTGGAGATGAAAAACAATCAGATTAGAAGAAAAACATCCCGGAAATGCAATATCCGCCACCTTTTAATTCACTCTATACTACAATTATTTTGAAATTCGACCGACTACTTTAAATATTGATTTTGGTGAATAAATGAGACGCATTAAACATATTGGTGACAGTGAACTCTCGCTACAACAATAATTCCCTCTATTACGAAAATGTTTCGTGCCCCCCCCCCCCCGATGTTATCCTTCTCTCAATATTCTCTGCAACCCCAGTAAAACGATTTTTTTCCCCAAATTTCAAATTTATTTTCTCCGTTTATGATTGGTTTTCAAAAAATAATGTTAAAAATCTTATTTTATCATCTTTTTTTTTTTTGACAAGAGAAGACTCACTGCTGACCACCCCAAGTGATTCCATTCTTAGAATGGCCTTCCTTACCTCTAAAGAAATCATAGATGTAACATTCCTATCCATCGTGTTAAAAGCTGATCATGAGTCACAGGCATCACACCTGAAAGAGAATTTTTTTTTCTGGGCACCATTCATAAATGAAAATCATTTTTATGCTTTGGACTCCATGCATACTTTGTGGATTGACTTGACAGTAATGAATAAACTAACAATTTCAATAAAAACAGTTTTCAGGTATAATTACGATCTTATTCTTTGAATTTACTTCAATTGTTTTTAATATTTAACCATCATTAACACTGTCCATGTTGTGATGGCGCTGTCATCAAGGTAGATGTTGCAAAAAGACAGAGGAGGGAACGCTCTGATGGAGAGCGGAAGCAAATTGTTTAGGTGGATTGGTTATATTAATTTTCTTCAAACTTCATTTTTTTTCTTTGTTAATAAATATTTGTGTTGTTAACTGGTTACCATTTATTTGGCCAATTGTGATTTTGGGAAGTATCTGAGTGAAGAAGGGAAAAGGAGGAAAAAATTATACGTTATATCACAAACACTCTGCAAATTAATTTTTTATATAAATACATTTATAGTTAATACATATATAACATTAAAATTTAAAATCTTATTGTGTCCCCAAAGTAATATATCTCTCTACAAAAGTATTGTTGTAGCGAGGTTTTACTGTAATATGAAAAGTGAGATGGGAAATAATTCTTGTCTTTTCCACAATTTAATCAATACAGCATTTGTGACTCTGAGCTAGAGAGACTACAATGTCGTGATCATTACGCATAGGCCGCCTTTACTTCCCAGATAAGCTGGACTTGAACGAACCCTAGTCCTTTTAGACTGTATTATTATGAGGAAAAATATGAATTTTTAAAATTTCGTCTTTCACTGGTATTTTATTCTAAATAATCAAGCAAATTTTTAAAATATTTGCAATAATATATAATTTTTCTTACACATTTAAAATAAGTAAAAAAAAACTTGCACTTTTTTTAGACTATGGGTCGAAAACGAAGTAAAAACAGTATGAGCGTTAGGAATCGTCAATAAACATTTAAGGGAGGGGGGGGGGAGAAAGCTATCAAAAACGTTTTTCTTTTTGTGAAAATTTCCGATTTTAGATCCTTTTTTATAATGATTAAGAGGCCCGGATTTTGATGACATTTGAATTTTTTGCATTTTTGGACATTTTTTGTCCTTTAGAGCATTTTTTGAGATTTATAGGGCATTTTCTTTAAATTTTGGAGCGTATTTTGCATTTTAAAGCATTTTTTAAATTTTTTGTTAATTTTTATTATTTTTTATAATTTTTTATTATTACACTGGCTTCCAAACAATGAATAAAATCTCTAGGATATTAAAAGGTGAAGCAACATCTTTTCAAATTGAAGAAGAATTGTCAGTAAGTGTGATCGTCCTTTTCAAGTACGCACCAATAACATCAGTAGACGTTGAAAGAAGCTTCTCCTGGAATAAAAATTTTCTTTCAGACAAGAGACGCTCGTTTACATTTCAGAATCTATATATATATTTCTCTTACACGGCACCAAAAAAAGGCCTCATTACAACTCCCCGAATGGCAACGTTAGAATATCGACCAATGATAGCTGCTGAAAATGTCACATGGCAAATGTCACATGAGGTGGCTCAACATATAGCGCTTTTAAAAACGGAAACAATAACCAGAGTGAGCATTATCAGGTTGTTCAATTCAGATTCATGCCTGGTCGTCGGGCTACCGAAGCGGGGGTGCCATCCCTTCCGCAGAGGATCAAAATTGTGATGGCATGTCTTCGGATCATCCTCCGGGATGTTTCCCAGACCGTCGCCAATAGCCCATTGTGCAGCTCTAGTGCGACGTAAATTAACAACAACAACAACATCAGATTCATGCCCTTAAAACATGATAATATTTAATTTAAACTGGCTCAACATATAGCGCTTTTAAAAACGGAAACAATAACTAGAGTGAGCATTATCAGGTTGTTCAATTCAGATTCATGCTCTAAAAACATGATATTTAATTTAAACTCAATTAGGAATTAATTAGGCTGGCCTTCTCCATGACTATAAATAAGTCACAAGGTCAGACTTTTGAGAAAATCAGTTTAGTATTGACTACAACAAGACAAGTTTTTAGTCATATATTTCTCTTACACGGCACCAAAAAAAAGCCTCATTACAACTCCCCGAATGGCAAACGTTAGAATATCGACCAATGATAGCTGCTGAAAATGTCACATGAGGTGGCTCAACATATAGCGCTTTTAAAAACGGAAACAATAACCAGAGTGAGCATTATCAGGTTGTTCAATTCAGATTTATGCCCTAAAAACATGATAATATTTAATTTAAACTGGCTCAACATTTAGCGCTTTTAAAAACGGAAACAATAACCAGAGTGAGCATTATCAGGTTGTTCAATTCAGATTCATGCCCTAAAAACATGATATTTAATTTAAACTCAATTAGGAATTAATTAGGCTGGCCTTCTCCATGACTATAAATAAGTCACAAGGTCAGACTTTTGAGAAAATCAGTTTAGTATTGACTACAACAAGACAAGTTTTTAGTCATGGACAACTTTATGTTGGCCTGTCAAGAGTTAAGTCATTTGACAGCCTTTCAGTAATTGCTCCAAGATGCCAATTCTATAATTGCGTTTTCAAAGAAATTCTAAATGCTTAGTGTTAATTTCTTAGAGCTTTGAAGAAAAAAATGTTTTTTGGAAAAAATTTAATTGAAACTTCTATTGGCAGTAGGCAAGGGAAACTGCCAAAATCAAAACTCCCGGATTAGAAATGCAGCATGGCGACCTCCACGTCGTATTTCTTGGGTAATGCTAACAGCCATGCATTTTAATTTATTGTATGTAAAACATCCTTATTTTGTTCTAGAATGTTACAATCACAAATGTTAATTAATATAGAAATTGATTTCAATAATGCTGATCACCAAAAAATATTTCATTTGGCGATAAAACAAATTTTTGTGTTCTTGAAAATGAAAGACTTTTTGAGGGTTATTATCTCACAAGGAAAAAGTTGGGGTTCAAAGTTTATATTTTTAAATAATAAAATTTTTTTATAAAACTTTCAGAATTTCTAGCATTAACTAATTTATTATACACATTTAGTTGAATTTAGGTGAGTAACTGCAATTTTTGATAATTTATTTTGCTTATATGTTTCTCATTTAGCTAATGTTCTGATTTTTTCACCATGTACAATCTAAATAGCTAATATACTTTTTTAAAAGCCAATAAGAACATTGGTAGAATTCTTCTACATAAGTACAATACTATGTCTTTGATGATAAAATACTATGTCTTTGATGATAATATACTATGTCTTTGTGCTAGAACATTGTGTTCATTGGCGAGCGAGCGCAGCGAGCCATGGTTCACGGCGTGAACCACATAGGATTGCGTAGCAATTCTCGGGGGTTGGCGAGCGTTAGCGAGCAGGGGGCGGAGCCTCCTAGTATTATGAAAAAATTTAATTATCCACTGTAATTCTGATATTTAGTAATATTATGAGATGGAAGTTGTTATATTCATTTAAGTTTCTATACAAAATGAAAATGTTTTGGAGTCAATATATTTTCCTTTTTTTTGTTGTTATTTTTGGATATAAAACATATTTGTAAAACTTTAATGAGCGTAGAACAAGTATTGCATTGCTTTATATTTTTTGAAACGACTCATAATAATTTTAAAGAGTAAAACATTGTTTTAGTTCAATATTTTTACTTCTATTTAAGTCATGTCATAAGGCATTTTTAGCGCAATTTAAGGGCATTTTTCCAGGTTGTACCGTCCTTTTTTGCACTTTTTAGGGGCATTAATTGAGATTTTTTAGGTCATCAAAATCCGGGCTCTAATAATGATCCTTCATACTTTAAAGAAACCAAACCATGCAAGCAATGTTTACATCCAATCCCGATGATTAAAAAAGATTCACAGACTATCTCAACAGCTCCATGTTATCTATACTGTACAGTTCCTGGCCACATTGAGACTCACTCTGAGATTCTGTGTAAAATATTAATTATCAGGCGATAACTATACAACTTTATTGTTTTTACACGACTATTTTCACTTGTTTACGTTAGTGTATCAATGGTTTAAATAAGGCGATATATATTATAAATTCTACGATTAAGATAAATTAGAGGATATATTATATCGATATAGAATATTTATAATATTATTATATTGTAATAATTAGGTCAAATTATTAGACGAACTGCAGTTTTTTAATAACGAGTTTATATGGGCAATACTTTTATATTTAAACATAGATGTAGTGAGTTTTTTATTCAGATTTTTTACACGCTTCCTATTTATATTTATTTTTATTTTTAGCGTCACCATGTTGACCCAGTGATAGACGAACGAGTGCAAACCGCGTAAAAACACTAAAGCTGTTTCACCCGATAATTAATATTTTACACAGAATCTCATAATTTGGACTGTCTTTCAATCTTGCCCATTAGAAATGGAATCTCGGAGTAAGTATGGTTTCTTCTTTGTAATATAATTGTTGTTTCTTGGACATAAAACAGTTTTTCAACATTAAGTTGAAATTATTTACTTAAAATAAGTGTACCTAAAAAGAATTCCCATCTTCAAACATATCCTTTTCTGATTCTATCTGTTAGTGAACATCAATCATTTTATTTAGCAATCATTCTTTAAAGTAGCATCGAAGGTATACATTGTTATGAATTTGGAACCTTAATTTAATATTTTCCTTTTTTCGCTTTTCAACTTAAAGCAATTCTAATAGGGTAAATACACCGAAGATATATTACTTTTATTAGTGAATATAACCTTTTTCTCGTTTTCTTAATGGCACAGGAAAACTACTCAATAATTACCAAGGGGTAAGTAACAAAAATATATTTAAATCATTAACATGATCAATACGGTACAATGGTATACATAACTACTACTACATTACAATGTAGATGTTCTTGCTTTTTACAAAATCTTTGTTTGCAGTTACGGTTACAATCTAATGATAAACTCCGCCATCTATCGGTGGTTCAATAACAAGTATTTCTATACCTTTACCAAATAGGCTGGTGATTGTTAAGTTCTTAACAATCAGCTACGAACTTATTTGACTGTAATTCATAATAGTGAGGGGAATTATACATCTCAACCTATCAAAAGATGCCTCAAGATAGAACACTACTGAACAATATTTATAGTTATTCCCCTTCCAGAATTTTATCTGTGATAGAATTCGATGAACAGATTCCGATAGTTGATTCATGCTGGGTTTTTTTTTTCATTTATATCCATTTTTGCTCATTATATTTTCTTAATTTTTTTTTGTTGCTTATATCATTTCGCTCATAATTTTTTTTCTTTTTTTTTTGTAAAGTATTTCGCTCATTATTTGTTTTTCTTCATTTTTTGTTTATTGACTTTATTTACTTCACCGGATTTTTTCTTTCTTTCGTTGAGCAGTATATTTTTAAGCAAATCAACTGTTTAAGGTGGATTATAAATCAATCAAAAGATAGTATAATGTCTTATATACACTTGTGAATTGGTATTCAATATTTATAGTGGTAGTGTGGTGATATTTATTAACATCTTGTTTTAACTGTAACTGTGCTTGATTTTCAATTGTTTTACTATTTAATGTTTATAAGTATGTAGTCCTCAGCGGCTAGCCTAATTTTGCTAATTAAAGCTTTATTAAGTTATTATGTCTGCCTAAATTGATTATCACAACAATTTAATTAGCAAAATTATATTCTGATAAATGTGAGTACTGGTATTCATCGTCATGGAAAATTTTCTGAAACCGGAACGTTTCGACTTCGACCCCACGTGTGCTAACGCTGAAAATAAGTGGCTACATTGGAAGAAAACTTTCGAAAACTTTTTGTCAAAGGTGCCTAATCTTGCTGAAGATAATAAACTCCCACTCCTAATTAATTATGTATCAGCAAATGTTTTCCAGTCAATAAGTGAAGCCACCAGCTACTCGGCCGCTATCTCTGTTTTGGATGCACTCTACGTAGTAAAGAGGAATGAAATTTTCGCTCGTCATTGCTTGGCCTCAAGAAACCAACTATCTAATGAAACTGTTAACGAATTTCTTCAAGTTTTAAAGCAACTAAGTAAAAACTGTAACTTCACACAAGTCTCGGCTGAAACTTATAAAAATGAGTATATACGTGATGCTTTCATTAGAGGGTTGCGGAATACCCGCATTAGAGAGCGTCTGCTCGAAAATACAACAATCACTTTAGACAATGCAGTCAACCAAGCCCGTGCTCTTGAACTGGCTGAAGCTCATTCTGCTTCATATCTCACTAACTCACAACCTATGCCTTCTGCTGCACTAGACTGTACTGATGATGCTTTTGAAAAAGAAACCCTTGCAGCAATTCCTCGTGGATCATGTTTTTTCTGTGGTAATAGTGATAATCATATACGAAGTAACTGTCCGGCTAGAAACAGTGTTTGTCATTCGTGTGGAAAAAAAGGTCACTATCAACGTGTGTGTAGAGCGAAAACTCGGCATAAAATAAATACTACTGCCTCTGCTCATCTAATTGCTTCTGTGTCGCCAGCCCCTGGTTGTCTCCAAAAATCCCTCACATTTGTTACAGTAAATAGTGTAAAATTGGTTGCTCTAATAGACACTGGGAGTTCACTCAGTTTCTTAAACTATAAACATGTTGAGAAATGCAATCTTCAACTGAAGTCATACTCTGGAACTATCACTATGGCCAACTCTGCTGTTACCTCAAGTGTGGTTGGGCGTGCAACTGTAACTCTTGACCTTCTAGATCACAAGTATGAACAGATTGAAGTACTGGTTATGAAGAATTTATGTGCTGACTTTCTGATTGGTCATGACATTCTTAAACTCCATTCCTCCTTAGTCATCAATTTTGACGGCAGCAAGTCGCCCCTCCAAATTTGCTCATTAGCTGTTGCTAAAATTCAACCTGTATCATTGTTTTCTAACCTGACGCCTGATTGCAAACCAGTGCAAACTAAGTCAAGACGTCTCCCTCTAGAAGATCAAGGGTTTATTACCTCAGAGATACAAAAACTCATTGAAGAAGAGGTCATCGAGCCCAGCAACTCTCCTTGGAGAGCACAAGCTTTTGTGGTGAAAGGTGAAAACAAAAAATCTAGGATGGTCATCGATTACTCTCAAACAATCAACAGATTTACAATGTTAGATGCTTATCCTCTACCTAAAATTGAGGAACTCATATCTAAGGTTGCTACCTACCAAGTGTTTAGTAAAATAGACTTAAGAAATGCATATCATCAGCTCCCGATTTTGGATTCTGAAAAACACATGACTGCTTTTGAGGCAGACGGAAAGCTTTTTCAGTTTAAACGTGTCCCTTTTGGAGTTACCAATGGTGTGGCATGCTTTCAAAGAACAATTGATAAAATTGTACAAGAAGAAGGTCTTACAGATACCTACCCTTACTTAGATGATGTGACTGTTTGTGGTACAAACCAACAGGAACATGATGAAAATCTTGCAAGGTTCAAATCTGCTGCAATCAAGTTTAATCTTACACTAAATGAAGAAAAATGTAACTACTCTTCTCAATCTATATCCCTACTTGGTTACATAATTGAGAATAAAAATATTAAACCTGATCCAGAACGTCTGAAGCCACTCTTAAGTCTACCTGTCCCTAAAGATACTGCTTCATTGCAACGTGCTCTGGGAATGTTCGCCCATCATGGAAGGTGGATCCCTTCT